CACAGGGTAGACACAGGTGTGTGCAGACACATATGTAGGAGGCACAGGGTAGACACAGGTGTGTGCAGATACATACGTAGAAGGGGTACATGTGTGGACTGCCTCAGTCTGTGGAGGGTGGTGATGTGCATACTTTACCTAACTACTGAAGCAGTGTTCGACTTTCACTGACTTCTGCTCAATTTACCATTTTAGCCCAACTTTTGCCATCAGAGTGACCAGATACCCATTGCAACACATCTTCTTCCTGGCTATGTTTACGCTGGCATATTCAAAAACTTTTTGGCAAAAATTCATCTGTATCCTTTTTCTGGACCTGGGAAAAGCAATAGGAAGCGCTTAGGCTTTTCCCAAATATAATTCCTGAGCTTTGAGAATCCTCCCTACGCATGGCCTCCTGGGACTCTGGATGGCCTGCCTATTGGCCAAAGGCACCAAGCATCCCCGTCCTGGAAATGTGGGAAAGATAGTCTCTGTCCTTGAGAACTCAGGGTCTGTTGAGACAGACAGAGCAGACTCATGTGAAAGTCAGGCACACAAATATAACAAAAATAAACTAGATGTACATGCGCACGGCAGTGAGAAGCCCAGTTCAGCCCAACTGTGGCCTCAAGGTCCTGCATTAAGTCAAAGAGAACGAGATGAAAGGTGCCAGGTGAACCAACAAGATCGCCTTTCCAAAGGAGGCATGCATTATTCATTTATTTATCCACTTGTTCCCTGATTTTCATTAGGCTTACAGAGGGTAGATCTCAGCTAGTGACTGAAATGTTTGCTTACTGTAAGTTCAGCAGGCTCAGTATCTGCCTTCATGGGGACACAATACCGCGTGTGCCCTGTGGTCAGAGTGGGGTGGGCACCAGAACATGTACACGTGGTCCAAAAGGGAAACCAGTGATGCCTTAAAAGCAGTGATGTTTTTGTCAGGGTCCTCAAAGTGGGCTTGCCCCTGTCTTCTGGGGCCGAGAGCACAAGAACAAGAGTTCTAGATTATTGGCCTCTCCGATCCTCTCTTCTTGTCTTGTGTAAATGGACATTTCAGGTTTCCAGGTCAAGTTGTCCAGATACCACTGCCACCCAATGGCCTCTTATGTCTACAGTCAGGAAGACTAAGACACATAAAAGGTATTTTGTGGCCATGGAAATAGGTTTGGTACCATCTGGTCATTGAACTGGGAGGGCTGGGTTTACAGAGAAGCTAGGCCTACAAGTACTGAAAGGGCCATGATAAGGATGACGATGATGGCCAAAATGATGTTACATGCTGACATACAACTATAATTATACCACTGGGAAGGCTGAGGCATAAGGATTGTGAGATCAAGGACACTTTAGACAAGTTACTGAGATTCTATCTCAAAGTAAAGAATGATCAGGGATGTAAGCCAGTGGTTGAGTGCTTTTCTTGCTTATGAGAGGCTCTGAAGTCCATCTCCAGGATAGGAGGGAAAGAAGGTTGGAAGGGACAGAGAGGGACAGAGCAGGGAGGAAGGGAGGGAAGGGGGAGGGAAGGAGGGAGAAAAGGAAAGAAGGAAGGAAGGAAGGAAGGAAGGAAGGAAGGAAGGAAGGAAGGAAGGAAGGA